CAATTCCAGGAAATATTTCTTTCCTTTCAAAATATGTAACATTTTTCTACTAAATGAATAGAAATCTATTACTTACAGACTTTAGAGTGTGGATATATTTTTATTTATTAAAAATTGTGGTAAACATGATTAAATATAAATGGTGAACTACTCAATGCTAACCTCTCTTGGATTTATAAACAGGGGTTTTCTATTCAATCACTCAAGGCTGTGGACTAAGAACTGACTCAGAACAGATCTTCACTGGGTTTCGAGGTTATACGTTGCACGGGAGGGGATTACCCATGCTTTTCCTATGGAGCTGTGTGGGGATTCGAACCACCAAAGAGGTGTTACTTTTGGATTAGCAGCATAACTCCCTTACAGACTAACCCACCAGTGCTTCCCAATATTTTATGTTAGTAGCATTTAATATTTGGATGCTTTTTGCAGAGTAGCAACATATTTTGTTTCCTTGACGAAGTTCAGAAAGTTTAAATTTTTGCAAAAATCATAATGTTAATTCCATAGAACAGAAACATTCAACTCTTTGGTAACATGGTAGGAGAAGAAAGTGAGAATATTGAAAATGTAGAATGACTAAAGAAAACTAATTTTAAAGAATCAAACTGATTTCACTACACTTGATTTAAACATTGTTTAGAAAGTAATCCAATGTATTGGTTTCTGAATTGTTCAGTTTCAGATATGTTCAAAATAGTAAAGTGAAAATATTATGCAGTCAAAGATTCTCTCCACTGGGCCAGTTGGCAGCATTATGATAGACAGTGAAGAGACTGAGATTGTTAACAGCTTTAGTTTGCTTGGCTCCACAGTCAACTCTCTTGGTACCAGCAGTCAGGAAAACAAAAGACGAATTGCATTGGAAAAGTTTGCTTTCAGAGATTTCTCCAGAATACTGAAGAGCAATGAAGTCACTCTGGAGGCTAAGGTGTGTCTGATCCAGGCCATAGTCTTCACAATTACTTGCTATGCATCAGAAAGCTGGGAAATGACTAGGGATGATAGAAGGAGAGTTGATGCCTTTGAGCTGTGGTGCTGGAGACGAGTATTAAAGATACCACGGACTGCCAGGAGAACAGACTGTCCTGGGGAAGGTAGGCAAGGCTGCTCCTTGGAGACAAGGATTTCTGAGGCTTTATCTGACATACTTTGGGCATGTTGCAAGGAGGGACCAGTCCTTGGAGAGGGACGTCATGCTTGGAAGGGTGGAGGAATCAGCAGAAGACAGGAAGACCTTCAATGAGATGAGGGTAGGTGTGTCAGAGACAATAAGGTTGGCACAGGATAGAGCAGGTTTCAGGGGTATTGTATATAGGGTCACTATGAGATGCAAGCCACTCAATGGCACATAACAAGTGTAAAAATTTCACCAAGCACATTTATTCCTAACCATTAGAGGCTGTGCTGCCAACTCTCGCCAGGCAGTTGAACCCCCTTGCTTCTGCATGGAAGAAAGATGGACAGTCTCTTCCATGTGATATATAAGCTCTGAACATCCTCCGAAGGGTCAACTATGAGGCAGTGGCACATAAAAACAGCAATATATTTAAAATCAAAGAGTGCTGTCTTCAGTATGAGTTACATCTCAACATAAGAAACAAAAATCCTCACCGTTGGATGAATAGACAGCATCCTGATACTGCTGTCTTTTAGGTGCCATGAAATCAAGTATGACTCATGATTCTGTGAACAGACCAGAATCCTGGCCCCTGCATTGCCAGCGTCACGATCTCTGACACACTTGAGCCCAGTGCTGCTGTCACTAATCCATCTCGTTGATCTTCCATCTCCTCTCTTCTTTAACCCTCCAGCTTTCTAAGCACGATGTCCCTTCTTTCCAAGCCTTTCATAGCAACATATCCAGAATATGAAAGATCGAGCTTCATCTTTGCCTCAAGGAACACTCTGGCTTCTCTTTTTCCGAGACATATCTGTTGGTTCTTTTAGAAGTCTGCGGGATACTCAGTACTCTTTGCCAGCACAATTCAAAAGCATCAGTTCTTCTTCGGTCATCTTTGTTCATTTGTCCAGATCTCAGATGTGTAGCAGGTGACTGAAAAGACCATAGCTTGGATCGGGCATGCCTTAGCCTTCAAGCTGACATCATTGATCTTAAATATTTTGGTAGTCCTTGACAGTGGTCACGTAATACAATATATATCTTTGTCCTTGACAGTGGACATGCCCGATACAATACTTCTCCTGTCTCCTGACTGCTAGTAGCAAGGGTGCTGATTATTGAACCAAGCAAGATGGAATAATTTACAGCTTCAAACCTTTCTCCATTTATCTTGATTTTGTCTATTCGTCCCATGGTAAGGACTTTTGTTTTCTTGATATTGTTGAGATAGAATCCATACTGAATGGTGTAGCTCTTAATCTTCTGCACCAGCAGTGTTTCAAGTTTGGGGTTTGTTTTGGGTTTGTTTGGTTTTTTTTCCACTTTCAGCCAGCAAGGTTTTGTCATCTACATAATGCAGGCTATTGATGTGTCTTCCTCTGATCCTGATGCCACAATTCCTCTTCATAGGATCCAGTTCATAAATTACTTGCTCAACATACAGATTGAATAGGTACAGAGGAAGGAAACATCCCTGACACACGCTCTGATTTCAAACCATACAATGTTCCTTGTTCTGTTCTGCAAACAGCTTCTTGGTGTAGGCGGACCAAGATTTCACATAAAATTGTGCTCTATATTTCACATGACAGCAATTAATAAGTGTTCTAGGATTCCTATTCTTTTCAGTGTTAGCCATAGTTTGTTATTATCCATACAGTCAAATGACTTTGCATAGTCAATTAAACATAAATAGACAATCTTCTGGTATTGTTTGCTTTTGAGCCAGGATCCATCTGACAGCAGCAATGGCATCCCTGGTGCCACAGTCTTTTCCAAATCCTTTTTGAACTTTAAGAAGTTTTGTATAAATGTACTGATTGGAGTATTTTGGGATGATCATCAGCAATATTTTGTTTCCCTGTGATATTAATACTTTGTGTGATAATTTCCACTTTCTTTGGGATGATCATTCTTGAGAATGGGAACAAATATGGTAGATCTCTTCCAGTCAATTACCAGGTAAATTTCCTGTCATAGACTTGTGAGCACATCTAGAGCTGCGTCTGCTAGCTGAAACATGTCACTTGGCATGTTTTTTTTTTTATTCCTGGGACCTTATTTTTTTGCTAATGCCTTCAACACAGCTTGAAAGTTTTCCTTCATTACCTTTGACTCTTGATCGTATGGTGCTTCCAGAAAGAATTCACTATCAATCAATTCTTTTTGGTATAGTGATTCTGTGTATTCCTTCCATCTTCTTTGATACTTCCTGAATCATTCACAATTTTGCTCAAAGCATTTCTCAGTATTACAACTCGAGGCTTGAATTTGTTTTCCATTCTTTCAGCTTGAGCAATGCAGAGCGAGTTATTTCTGTTTTATTCTCTGACTCCAATTCTTTTCAAATTTTGTTTTAATATTTTGCTTTATCTTCTCCGGCTGCCCTTTGAAATCTTCTGTTCAGCTCTTTTACTTCGGCATCTCTCCCTTTTGTTTTGGCTTCTGTACATTCTAGATCTTTGAATGAAAGATCTAATGAAAAATATTTTAATGAAATTTCCATGGTCTCTTCTGGCATTCATGATAACAGCATTCAAGAATTCCAAAGACAGGGTGCATTGGGAAAATCTGTTGTCAAGGAGCTCCTCAAAGTGCTAATGAGAAACTGTCAGTTTAAAGAATGAGCTGTGTCTGCTCCAAGCCATGGTATTTTCATGTGCTTCATAGGTATTTGAAAGTTGAATGACAGAAGACAAATAGATGTCTTTGAACTGTGAGGTTGCCTAAGAGTATTGAAGATACCATGGAGTGCCAAAAGAACTGACAGATTGTCTTGTAGGAAGGACAACCAGAGAGTACCATAGAGACAAAGACGGCAAAAGTCGTTTTATTACCTTTGGGTGTATTTTCAGAATGAACCAATCCGTTGGGAGAAAGAGACATCATGCTGGAAAAGGTGAAGAAAAGGAAGATCCCCATTGGGATGGATTGATGCAGTGACAACTCTAATAGACTTGAGGATGAGAGAGATCATGAGGAAATAGCGGAATAGAGCAGGGCTCAGATCTGTCATTCACAGAGTTGCTATGAGTAGTCTTGACTCGATGGCACTTAACGACCTCTGCGACAACCACCTTGCTTCTTAGAGGAAGGAGAACAAGATGATATGTTTCAGGAAACATCCAAGAAGGTTAGAACAGAGCAACACCAAGTCAGGTTTCCAAAGTAAGGTTCTAGGCTGTTGTTTTCGAGACTGTTCCTGTGCTCAAGGCATCAGCCAATGCATGTGTCAGAATACTCTTCTACCATTTTGATGTGGTTTTTTTTTTTTCATGATACAGCATCTGCTTAGGTTAATGTAACCTTACATTGTTATTTAAAATAACAGAAAAGTTCATTCTAAAAGTTGGTTTTTTGAAAATGTTTCTGAAGAGGGATATGCGTTCACAGCAGCCAGTTCCCCCTCTCTGCTGATGTCATTCCTGGTTTCTGTACTTTAAAAAAAACAGATTCTGAGGGAGCTCTGGTGGCCGAGTGGCAAGTAGCTGCACTGCAATCCCAGAGGTATACAGTTCAAATGCACCAGATGCTCTGCTGGAGAAGGAGGGGCAATCTCCTCTTGTACCAGTCAGATACGATTTGACTGTATACACACAAAATATAACAAAATAATAATAATAAAAAAAACCCAAACCAAAAAACCCAACACAACAGACTCTGAGTGTAGGAAATTTGTTTCTATAAAATCTGTAAGTCGTGTGTAACTCATCGTCGACCCTTGGTGTGTGATAAGTGTGTTTTGTAGGGTTAATCTGTCATTCAGATATTGAGGTTAGCTTACCCTACTTTAGGCTCATTTGTTATTTGGAGAAGAAAGGGATCAACATTTCTCGCATGAATATTAAGCCTTTTCCCTGTTCCTTCTCTTTTACAGAAACGCTGGAGACGCTCATCAAGCAGGCGGAGAACTACACGAGTGTGCTTTTCTGCAACACCTACCGGAACATGGCCCTGGAAGCCGCGGCTTCGGTGCAGAGGTTCTTCGCCGACGCCGCGCTCTTCTTATTCGGGGCGGACGTTCACCCCGACGAATTTGTAAACCGATTCTTCGACAGTCTCTTCCCCCTGGTCTACAACCACCTGATCAGCCCCGGGGTGACAGGCGGGTCCGGGGAGTACGCGGAGTGCGTGCGCGCAGCGCGCAGGGAGCTCCGGCCTTTTGGAGACGTTCCCCGCAGGGTGATGGGACAGATGGCGAGGTCCCTGCTGGCCAGCCGCACCTTCCTGCAGGCCCTCAACCTGGGCATCGAGGTCATCAACACCACCGACCACCTGCCCTTCTCCAAGGAGTGCACCAGGGCGCTCCTGCGCATGCGCTACTGCCCGCACTGCCAGGGCCTGGCCCTCAGCAAGCCTTGCGGGGGCTACTGCCTCAACGTGGCCAGGGGCTGCCTGGCACACACGGCCGAGCTCAGCCCGCACTGGCACGCCTACATCCGCTCGCTGGAAGAGCTCTCGGAGGCCATGCACGGAGCCAACGACGTGGAGCCCGTGCTCCTGAACCTGCACTTGCTGGTGAACGAGGCTGTGATGCAGGCCCACCTCAATGGGCACAGGCTCTCTGAACAGGTGCGCAGCCATGCCATGCTTCTTGACTGATGCATTAGGATTTATAAGCTGTGTGTGTGTGTGTGTGTGTGTGTGTGTGTGTTAGCCTGCTGCATGAACTTTGTGAGGTGACGCAGGAAAGCAAGGGGCTCAGATGGACTGGTCATGGGGACACCGTGAGCTGGGCCTAAATCAACGGTGGGATGAAAGGCAATTTTAAATCAATGGTGGGATGAAAGGCAATTTGCACGTTCAAATATGCGGTACGTTTTTAAATGATAGCAAGTTTAATAAGGTTACGCTTTGGGAACTAGGAGGCTGAGAGGATGTGTGGATTACTATAGTGAAGATATACTGGTTTTCTATCACATTAAAATAAAAGATCAATAGGACTGAAATATATAAAACACAATGTGTAGAAATGATTATGTAAAACAAAACGTTTATGAATGAAACAGTGTGTCTTAATCATTGTGTGGAAATGAACAGTGGCATACATTTGCCCATGTGGGTGTCAGCAGAGGGGACTTGCCAGATGAACTGGGGGTCTCTGACCCAGAGTTTGCCAGCATTTGGGCGTGCCGGAATGGTAAAATACTGAACTGTCTGGCCACACCTTCAGGCTGAGGGCCAACGTCTTGTGAATCTCAGTGTCTGCTGGATGCGGCCCCTTGCGTCTTGAAGAGAGGCAAGTATGGATGGCGCCCATGGCTTTCTTTTGGCCCCAAGTGAGTGTCAGGCCTGTTTTTAAATGTTTTTGGTCAAGCATTCCTCTAGGTCGTATACCACTGGTCTCTCCACTTGCTGTACAGAGGTAACTCGTGGTTGCTGTGAAGCCAAACACTGTAACACTAATGTGTCAAATGTGAAAATGGTTACCCATGGTAGACAGTGTTTAGTGAAACTCTCCAATTAAAACAAGCTTGGAAGCAGGAGTGGCACCCACTTCCATAATAGCTTGCCTCTGGAAACCCTATGGATCTGGAGAGAGGATGAAAGTCATGTAAGTGTTGAGGACTTCCATTCATAGGGCCGCTATGAGAAGCCTATGACTCAACAGCATTTAACAAAACAAAAACAACTGAGATAGAGTATCTATTAGCTAAAATGTTTTGTTCCTTAAATTGAAGGCTTCCCACAAGGATTAGTTCCGTGTATTGCAAAGTGCTGTTTCCAAGCAGGAGGAGCATGTGTTTGACAGTCTACCAGTCATTGCTGGTCTGTGTCTTCAAATCTAGTATACACGGTGACCCGACGAACTGTTCTTACTGTGTCCCCTTGAGGTGGAACCCACCCATAGTTGACCCTCCAGGAGATTTTCAGCGACAGTTGGTTTCCTGGGAGGAGATGGCCCAGCCTCCTCCTGTGAAGCAGCTGGTAGACTTGAACCCTGTATCTTTGGGATGCCAGTGCGACTCTTTACCTCTAGGCTACCACAGCCCCCTGATCAGCTATTAGCTATGTGAAATTAAGCAATTCCGTATCTTTAAGCTTCATTTTCACTCATTCAGTTGCTAAAAAGGGAGTTATAATATCATAATTGTAGCGTGTTCTCTCTTGCTAAGATTAGCCATATGCCTGAGAATGGCGCAGGATAGGATGGAGTTCAGATCAGGAGGAAACCTCTCAAAGAAGGAATTCTCAAATAGCCTCCACATAGAGATAGAAACATGGTAAGACCTATCAAAAGTAGGAAATTTGGAAGAAAAAAAAAAGGTAGAAAATTTGCACCATTCGGAAAAGCCAGCAGTGTTGAGTTCTGGCTTTCACAGATTTCTCTGTAATGAGCTAACTCAAAATAAGGTGTAAACAACTAAGAAAATGTCAACTGTTTCACAGTGACAAGGAAAAAGAATTTCTATCCACAACCCAAAATATTGGTGTTATGATATCATATAGCTCCAAAAGGGGAAATAGAACCAAAACCATCACATGCACTGCCATCAAGTTGATTTTGCCTCTTAGCGTTCTTGTACCCCAAACCCACTGCCCTGGAGAAGGTTTCCTCTTCTAGCTCCCTTTGCGTTGACGGAGGAGATGGTGCCCCTTTCTTTCAATGAATGACTATTAATTTGGGGTGTGTCACTTAATGTTTCTAGGTTAGAGCTTTCTTATCAATCTACTTCCCTTCTTTCTGTCATACAGATTGGAAACCAGGAGTACCTCTATTTTCATCCTTAAAATCTACTACATAGAAGTTGTTTATTATTCCTGTTTCAAATACTGAATTAACACATCTGTAGTTTGATAAAACATGTTTTTTTTGTGTGTGCTGTAAGATATTTACCTCTAATATTATTATTTCTTTCATCTGAGAATATATTATTTTTTTTTCTTTCTTTTTTTTTTTTTACAGAGGTTTTGGATTTCCATTCATTCATTGCCGCAATTTTCTCCCTGCCCGCCCTTCCCATTCAGCTCGCTTCCCCCTCTGAAGAGAGAGAGAGAAAAAAAAAATTCCTTCATTAGTATACAATTCCCACATCCCTTTCCCCCATCCCCCACCCCGAGTACACTTCTCTATGCAACCTTAATTCTGGATTCCTGTGCTAACCATAATACTCGATTATATATCACTTCTAATCTGATAAAATGTGTTTTCAAGTCCTCTCTATAGGACGTACTAGCCATGTGGTCTGGGAAACTACTCAACCACTTAGAGACCTGGGTGAAGATCAGGCAAGTTACTGAGACTCCGGCATCTTCAGGCTCGTGGTAGCTGAGAACATTACTCTATCTGCCTCCCCCCAGTGATCAGCTCTGCAATATTTCGCTCAATGGGGTCCTTTAGTATCTTGTAGTATTAAAGTTATTATCGTGTCTGTATGATATGAGTAAGTAAACTTTACACAAGATCTTCACTTTAGGAAACTCATAAGTGGATTTTCCCGAGACTACTCTTTTTATGCATAATCTGATTTCATGGGATAAATCGTCTTATAACTATCTTGAGAGTCATAATTTATTACTAATAAGTTGTTGATTTCTTTTCTAAAGAAGGCGACTGAGATTCTCTTTTCTTACTTAGGAGAACACAAGAAGGAGTGACTGGCTTTCAAGGTCTTGAAAATGGACTCATTAATATTTATTTCTGCCAACTTCAAAGTGATTTATAAGCTGTTTATCAAGCTTTGGTAACCAGTTCACACATCAATGAATTTAGAAAATTCAAAATAAGTTACTGGAGAGTGAGAAAATAATGACTTTCTCATAGTCCCAAAGCAATCCTTAAGATCTAGTACTTCCTATTCTAGTCCTCAATAAATACATATTTCCACCTTATGAAACCCACAAAGGTACCTGGTGCATCCTATTTGTTGAATGTATGTCAATTGAAAAAAGACATAATAAATCCCTCTCTGGTTTCTTAGAAAATCTTTACATAACTATTTGTTAAACTTTTAAAGAAGCAAAGTCTAATTTATTGGAGTGTTTTAAAACCATGTAATTATTCTGAATTTAATTTTTCTAAATTTAACTATTACATATTTTGCTACAAAACTTGGAAAAACAGAAGCAGAGAGCAAATGTTAACAGAATAATGGGCCATCCCCCTCCCCTCAAAAAAAAAAAAAAAAGATATGCCTAAAACTCAACCCCTGTACATCTGAGTATGACCCTCTGGTGACCTAGCGGTAAGGAGCTGAACTGTCAACCTAAAGGAACGTGGTTCAAATCCTAGCTGCTCCACAGAAGAAAGATGGGCAGTCAACGCCAGTGGAACTTACTGTCTCTGAATATCTGCTGGGAGGTCAGCTAGGGGTCAGTTCCAACTCCTCGGAACTCAATAACAGCCTGCCATTATGCAATCTGCTGATAGCACTATATGGTGTATCCTAATCCTAATCTCGTCTAAGAGAGGGTCCTGCCCTCTTAGAGTTTTCTTTTTCAAAAGAAAGGTAAGATTTGAGAAAGAGAGAGAGACAGAGAGAGAGAGAGAGAGAGACAGAGAGAGAGTGCATGTGTGAGCATGTGCGTGTGTGTGTGTGTGTGTGTGTTACAGTCTAATGTGAAGTGGACTTGTAGATACTGCATATGACAGAACAGAATTGACCCACAGAGCGTCCTAGTTTCCTAACCTGTAACCTTGATGCTGTTAGATAACATCTTTCTTTGTGCGTCCCTGGATGGACTTGAATCTCCGGTCTTCTGGTCAGCAGTCCAGCATTTAACCCCTGTAACACCAGGGCTCCTTACAGTGTCTTATACAAAACCACTCCCACTGCCGTTGAGAGTTGATTCAGATTCATGGTGACCCTCCCTTAGAATTTTGAGACTGTAAATTTTTATGAGAGTAGACAGACTCATTTATCTTTTTCCTTGAAAATGGTATTTTCCTCTTTTTTTAGGCATGTCTTCATTTTTAATTATAAAATGTCCATAATATATATTGTCTTGTTTCATCAATCATTCATGTACATTTTCTTCTGTCACATCAATTGCAACACACAGTGTGTGATCATCCGTTCATCTCACATTGTCTTTCCCTCCACTCACTTTAATTATCTATTGCTATTCATTTTCTATTTTCCCCTTCCCTTTCCTGGCAATGTTGTGGAGCAGGAGGAAGATTCAAACAGTTGACCTTTGGGTGAACAGCCTAACACATAATATATTTTAACATTAGGGCTTCTGAGATGTTAAGGGTTTATTGTCCAAAACTGCTTCCCTATCCATTAATTTATTTGGCCATGCAGATGGGTAGGAATGTGCAAATAGGACATATAAGCTTACCCCCAGGGTATTGGCTAGTTTCTCCATTAAACTGAGAGGATTCAGAAACAGAATTAGAGGGTCTTCCATACCAATAAGGAAACCAGAGAATGTAGAGGACCCTTCAGAGCCAGAGACTCCTGTGCCAGCCAGGGTAGGGCCTAGAGGAACAGCCAACGTAATAGTCACAGTGAGAGCCAGAGACCCAACATGAGATGGAGCAGACCTGGGATTGCTGTCCATGGAGCCAGAGCTAATCGACTTTGCTCAAGTTTGTTGGAAGACCTAGGAAATTGAGAAGGTGGAGT